GCGGTAGTAGTAGGGGACTGTTGGTGTTGAGGTGGTGGTGGGTGCTCTCCCCAACGAGGGCAGGATCAATCGCGGTTGAATTTGTTTGTCTTACTGCTTTTTCTCTGGACTGATATGAGCCGGGTGAAAATGACGGGGAACGTGATCCGCATGTTTTTTGTGTCCCATGCGTGACTGCTGCTGTCGCTTGCCGGACGTCTCTGTCTCTGTCTGTCTGTCTGTCTGTCTCTCTCTCTCTCTGTCTGTCTCTCTCTCTCTCTCTGTCTGTCTCTCTCTCTCTCTCTTTCTACCGCTACATCGTGTGTCGCGATGTGGTTTCTTTCGTACCGCCAGGTATGGCGAGCAGCACGGAGGGCGGAATTTCTTCCCCGACAAAAACGGGCACTACGAGTTGTTCCAGGACGACAAGGTTAGTACTAGTACCACGGTGTATGCTCTTTTCCGTATTAGAAGAACTGACGCGTCAACGATGGAGGTAGGAGACTTTTAGGCACGAGAGGGTAAGCATGAGGAGAGCCCGAAGGATGTTCTTTTCGCTGTGCTCTGCCGCATGGTGTAGGGAAGAGACTCAACGTCGTCGAGATTCCCGTTCGATCGCCACCCGTGTCTCGCCCGTTGGGACAGTCAGTATTTCAGCCCGGTGGCCTTACCCAGTACATGTGATTTTGATTGTGGTCGCCCAGTTATGTGTAGTGCTCTGCGGTGTGTTGGTTGGTTGTGAGGTTTTTGTTGCGGGGCCCGACCGGCCGACTTGGTGAAAAGGGTGGATCTTCCCCTGATAACACGCACCCAACCCCCCCCCCCCCTCCATTATTTTTGGTTCCGCCGGGTGTTGTTGCTTTGTGACCGGCTTGGTCGATGGTTGACCCCTAATTAAAGAACTCAAAAACACTTGCCTCCGTTTGTTGTTGCTTTTGGGGTGGTTGTCGATGGTGGACCTCCCGATAAACTCAACATCAATCCGGTTATTGTTGCTTGTGGCGTGCGCTTGGTCGACGGTGGACCCTTAACGCTTCCTGCGTTGTTTTTTTGCTTGTGACATGCTCTTGGTCAACGATGGCAAAAAAAACAAAAACAATCCGCTCCTCCGCCGGATGGGAAAGCAGGTGACGGTGCGAGCGGCGCCGATGAAACACGGCGTGCCGTGCGTAGGGTACACGGTCGAAGAGGCCGACCGCCCCGGAAGGTGAATTCAAGTCAAGTGGGAGGCAGTTTGGGCGATTGGACTTGGGTTTTTTGGCTCTGAATTAGTTCGCAATTCGCCAAGGTGCTAGCTCAGTGGGGTCCTGACCACGAGGCCCTCGAAGCGAAGCTAATCTATTCCTCTGCAGGGTTCCTTTTTAAGAGGTTGGCTGTTGGTGCAGCCCCCGGTTAGACCTAGTGGGGGGGTATGGTGCCGAGGGGAGCGAGGGCTCGAGCACGTTCGTGGGGTGGGTTCGAAGCTTGTTCGAACGCGGGGATTGGTGTGTTTTTTTTGTGGTGGTGGCCGTAGTACAGTAGCAGTGCTCGTGACGTGGTGCCCGTGGTGCACGTCCTGCGCCTCCTGTGCCACGCCTTGTTGTATACGGATCGTCGAAGTTGTTTAGGCCCATTCTCTTTCCGTGCTCGCTTGCTGAAAACAACCAAGCAAGCGGGGTGGAAGGAACCCGCCGCGAGGTGGCGGGAGCCCATGCTCGTGCCGCCGCTTGCTGCTGCTGCTGCTGCTGCTGCTGCTGCTGCTCGTTCGCGTGTCGCAAGAAACTCATGCCCGTTGTCCTCGCGATGGTCCACATCAGGTTGAAAGTCGAAGAGCTTAACCCCATCCTGGAGGAGCACAAGCAAGCGATCTGTAACACCACCGGCCGGAAGGACGTGGGCTGGATGCTAGGCTGGATTAAGGTGAAAGAGACACCCAGCGGCGTCGGTGTTGCTGTTGTACAAGCCAGCGGTGATGTTTCCTTTGTCGTGGCTTGTTTGTGAGTGATCTGGTTCCGCCATTTACAGTCTCGAGTAGAGGGGATGAATCCTACGGATGCCACACCCCTATTTCTCTCTCCCGCTCCCCCTACCGGATGTGCACTGTGGGTTTTTTGACAAGGCTGAGGGAGGGGGGCGAGGGCGAATTGTTCGCTGTCGGCGCAGAGTGGAGATCTCAGCGGTGTTAGGAGCGTATTTTCCTCAATCCGCCCTCTTTCATTCACCGCCCCCGCCCCCCCCCCCCTCGGTGATCGGTGATGTGGGAAAAATGCTCCGTCCTCTCGAGGACGCGTGGTCAACGTTCTAACCGCTAAGGCATGCTAAACATGAGTACCCCCCCTGCCGTCCCCGACCCCCGCAGTCTACGAAGCGCGGTGAGACCATCACACTTCCCGGAACGGATGTCACCCTTGACAGCGCGGACTACGTCGGCGCTTCCGTCAAGGGTCGAAAGGTGCGATCGCCTCGAGCGCTCGAAGCAGCAGGCGGAAAGCCTCCCCCGTTTCCTTCTCCTATTTTTTTGTACTGGTCCAGTCCGTGTATCCCCCTTTTGGCTCTTGGAGAATACTTGGACGTTGCCTGAGCGCGGACCCTCGACCACGATCTGCTATGGTCGTGGCCCCTTCACTAAACTTTTTTTTTTAGGGTCTTCCGCGCTCTACGGTGGAGGGGGGGGGGGTCCGCTGGCTGGTACTGAGTTGGAAGTGTGGGTGATGAGTGCCTCGACCGGTGTTGCTGAGCGGGGGGATGGGTCCCCTTGCGATGGTTGCACAGGCCGCAGCGCGCCGGCGCGCTGCGCCCAAGCACTGTGCTTGCATGCTCGCCCGCCGGTGGTGGGTTTTCCATGACCGTGTGCACCAGCTCCTCCTTTGAAAGGGCACGCGTGTGACTTTTCCATTGAGGGCAAAAACTCTGTACCGCGTACGTGCAGCACTGTCAAATATTGGGTCTTGTTTTTGTTTTTGTTTTGATGCTGGCATGTGACACCTCTCACCCTCCCTCATTCCCTCCCTCCCTCCCTTCCTCCCTCCCTCCCTCCCTCCCTCCCCCACTTCCCCCCTCCCTCCCTCTTGATTCCGCGGGACTCCCTTGGGGGAGCAGGTGGTGATCCTTGGCGACACGTGCGATGCGGCGAGCATCGTGCCTCTTGCCATGGGGGCCGACGTTGTGGTCCACGAGGCCACCAACACCATGCTACCCCCGCTTGACCAGGTGCGGATACCCCCCCCCCCCGTCGGTGTTTGTGTGGTCTTTCCGCCGCCTCAGGTGCTGGCACGGTTTTGCTAGAGAGAGGTAGAAGTTGACCGGGAGGGCGCGGATTTCTTGCCACGAATCCGGTCAGCCGTGTGTTGTCGGAGTAACGCAACTGGGCCCCGAGAGCAGAGGTTCTTTTACAAAATCCTCTCCCCGTTGGTGCTAGCACAAGATGTTGTTTGTAGGAAAAATGCAACATGCAAGAGCGCATCATGTAACGCGGTTTGACCGGAAGTTATCGTAACAATGTTAGATACATCCGTATCACTAGGAGCATCATGGAGGGTGGTACCAAACAAGAAACATGCCTTTTCTAGGTTGCCGGCAGTCATCTTGATTCCTGTGGTTGAAGAAATACTCCCAGGGGGACTTTACTCCTATTCCTCTGTCGTTGTTTTCCAGCCCAACAGACCCAACAAATAGTTTCTTGATTGTTGCGATGTTGAGTTTTAGAACGTCCTTGCAAGGGCCTTTGCCTGCCGTGGATCAGGGGCGGGCACCCGCGTGTCCAACAACCTTTTTTTCATTTCGAGGAGCACGTTTGGCAAGAGCACCGGGATAGGGAATGGTGTTGCCACTACTCCACGATCCCCCCCTCGCCTCCGCTCTTACCCCCCGTCCACCGCCGCTAACCGCGTTTCGCCTCTCGCCTTTAGGGCTTCGGACTCCACTATTGACGATCCCCCCCCCCTCCGCACTACCCCGCGCTATGCCTCTCGCACATAATGCTTCGGACTCTTCTACTGACGGTTTACCCTCCCCTTCCGCTCTACCCCCGGCTTTTAAGGGCTTCAGACTCCACTATTGACGATCCCCCCGATTCCCCGCTCCCCGTTCTATGCCTCTCCCGTAATTTATTTCTTCTTCTATATAGGGCAAGACATACGCCGACGTCGAGGCCGAAGCCATCAAGCACGGCCACAGCACGCCTATGATGGCGGCCGCCTTCGCGCAGAGGGTCGGGGCCAAGACGCTCATCCTCAACCACTTCTCGGCGCGCTACAGGGGCGACCCGTCCGACGCGAGCGTGGCGGCGATGCTGAGGATCGAGCGCCAGGCGGCGAGGGCGGGGGGCTTGGAGCGACACCAGGTGATTGTTGTTGTTGTTGTCCGTTCGTTCGTTCGTCCAAGCGTACCTCTCCTTGTTCCTTAGTATGCATACAACAGAAACACTTGTCAGGGCTGACTTGCGTGTGCTTCTGTCGTGTTTTTACTGCCGTGGGGCATATGGTCTATTATTATAGTGTCAAGGGCTGTTTGTGGTGGGACAGGGGACAGGGTCTGTGCTTACGGGAGAAGGGCGGGGTTTTGCCCGCACCTCTTTAAGGGGGGAGGGGGTTACACGCGTGGTTTTTTGTGCGAGATCTCCATATGGCCCAAGATCTCTTCATCTCTTGCGAAGATTGTATTTTGTAGTGGTACTCTTTTGGTGGGATTATATTTATTTAAATCCCCCGCTAAGGCCGCCCGATGTCACCGGTGAGAAGCAGTTAGGGACGGTCCATGCTTGCTCGTCCAAGAAACATTAACTCTCACGCACACTCTTTCTTTGTTTCGGTTCATGCGCCACACACGAAACGCAACAGGTGGTCGCGTCGTGGGACCTTCTGGAGATGCCCGTGGTGGACGCGGACCAGTGGGAAGCGAACCGGGCGACCGCCAGGGAGGCCGACGCGGCCTTCGACGGCGAGCTGCTTCGACGGGCGCAGCAATGGCAACAGCAGCAGCAGGAAGAGGTTGAGGGTGCGGGGAGGTCACCGTCCGTCTCAGGCACGGCAGCTACCTCATCACCGGTGCTGTCGCACGAGCACGAGCACTCGCGAGACTTTCTGCGCGACGCTGCCGCTAGCGGAGGCGGGGCAGCATCGCCACGGGGGTCCGTGGCGGCGGCATCCGGGCCTTCGAACGGGGGTGGTGATGGTGGTGGTGGTGAGTCGTCCATGATGCTGCGGGGCCACGGGGGGGAGACTGCTATCGAAGGGGGTTCCGCGGCATCCGGGCCTGGGGATGATGGGTCCATCTCGCGGGGCGACAGGGAGACTGCGACGGTCGACGGTTCTGGCGCTGCTCCTGCGAAAACGGGCTTGGTTGGAATCATGTTTGATGCCGTGGCATGATGGGGCCCGTCGTCGGAAATGCTGTAAAAATAGTTTTTTAGCGCTTCTCTCTCGGCGGGTTTTTGTCTGTTGTTGTTTCAGAGTAAGTGTACTTGCGTCCGTGTTTTTTTATCGTTAGGTCACCCATCGTGCGTTTCACTTTTTTTAGTTTTCCGTCATTAGAAGTAGCCGTGGTCGTGGGGGAGGTTCCGTGTGTTTGTCGCAAGGTAGGGAGGTACAGTAGCGCATTGCTTTGTGGGTATCACGCTTTGCGAGGGAGTGAGGCGTTGATCTTTCAAAACTGCGCATATGGAGAGAATGACGAAAACAATTGCTCCGAGCGTGGCTCGTTTCCGACACGTGCTGGAGCGCGGTGCGATTGCTACTCCCACGCCAAAAAAAAAAAAATAGTGCGAAAAGTGTTTGCGGCTGAAAATGAATCTCCGTCGTCACCGTGTTTCGATGCACTTCCTGTACGAACAAACGTGCAGCGACTGGCCAGCTCTCGGGACTGCCACAAGAACACACTCACCCTCGCATGTTTTCAGCCTCATCTCGGATTATCGAGCGACGAAGCGTTTTTACTCTAGTGACGTCCGCTGCTTTTTTCGTGACGAGAATCACAGCCAACCAGATCGGCGTTGAAGACCTGATGAAGTTAAAAGTCTTGTGTGTCGCTGCTTTGCCTGTGTGTCGCTGCTTTTCTCGGAGTAGGACGGGGTTCTCAACATCAATGTCGCAGCGTGTTTCGTGACGTTTGGTTCTATTCCCGTCCATCCGAATTATATTCCGCAATGAACACGGATCGATCGATCTAGCCACACGCAGAAACCGAACGTTAGACGCGTCTTCCTGCTGGTACATGTAGGTGCGAAGCACAACGTTGGCACACACGCGTCTGGCGGGCCATGGAGATCATTGTTATGGCGCCTCAAACCAACCGCTGCTGTCACGTACTATGCATACGTCAGCCCTGACTCCACCAATTGGCGTTAGAGGCGACCAGCATGAAAGAGGCAAAATCCACCTCGCGGAAACCCGAACAAAAAAAAAGAAGGGGGCGCACATACTCTGTCCATGTGGGCTAGTCCTCCCGACGTTTTAATCAACAGGCTGAGACGCAAGCAGAAGTCGCTGCCAATACCCAGCCATGGTGAGACCTCTCTCTCTTTTTCCATGTGTCATCAAGTGTCTTTAGCCCACCCGTGATTTCTATTTCTTCTTCGTCAACCACCACCAAACAAAGCCGGGCAGCACACGTGGTCTACAGCAGTGCTCCACCGCCCGCTTCGCTTATATCCCAACCTCGGCTCTATAGCACCTCCCCCACCGTACCATCTCGCTTTTGGTCTTTGCTTGCGGTATCGGCCAAGCCTCTCTCGAAAGCTGGGTCTTCTCTCTCTATCGCTATCCCTCTTTGACAATAGGTGTCTTCACAAAACCGCAACAGACAGATCGTCGTGGCGAAAGAGGTATGCTTACTCCCATTACACCACCAAAAGAGGAGTAGGTACTTCGAGAAAACAAGCTAGAGGGTTCGCTCGACCCCCCCCCCCCCCCCCATACCCCCTCTCGAAGGGCAACGCCGACCTACACTCACAACGGACGTGCTGGTGACGAGCCAGGGGTGTGAAAAACCAGACTCAAGAGAGCATTCGGCCGCACCTACTCCCCCTTCCAAACCCAAGCCAACGTTTCCCTCAAACGCCAACACAGCCTCTCTCGGTAGGGCCGGATCTTTTGTGACGAGTACCGAACGCCCCGATCACATGGACGCCTGAGAGAGGGTAGAGCGAACGAATAGCAACCTCGAGGTTCGAGGCAGGACGGAAATTTCCAGAGTAATACTGAAACCAAAACGACCAAAAGGCGCGGAATACCGGGCGGGCAACAAGTACACAACTCATACCATCTGGGAGGGAAAAACACCCAAAACATGCAGATATATACGCAGAGACAAACCAAAATATAGAAAAAAAAAAAACACACACACCAACACCTGTACAAAACCGTGCACGGAGAAGAGAGAGAATTCGGGTTAACACCACTTTCACGCTCACGTTCTCCTTCCCCCACTACACGCCGGAAAAATAAAAAAAAAACTCCTCCCCGAACGATATCGCCGGCAGTTACAACAACAATTTTGCCTCCTTCTCTCTCAAACTCCGCGAGCCTTCCATGTGCCACACGGCAGCCGCGAGGGTTTTCGGCTAAATCTCGCAACCACGATAGCCATCAAATCACAAAAGAATAAATCAAGGAAAAGTGTTGACACCGCCGGCAGTAAGTAGCGTTCTCCTAAAGGCCTAGAAAAAGAGACGTGCGTGCTGCACTTCACACTTTCTTTTTCGCAAGAGGTGAACTTAATACGTGTGCCCCCATCTAACGGCGAAAAGCAAAAGCTGCAGAGCCGGTACATTTAGCGTCATATGAGGGGCACATCGACGTTGTCGCGCCACAAACGAGCGCACAAAATACAATAGGAAGGGCGGCGGCGGCGGGAGGCAGGGGGTAGGGGGGGGTCCACTTTGCTCGCAATCAACTGCTGGTTTACATGCCCGTACCACCGAACGGCTTCACTGACAACAACCGCCAACTGTTGCGTCTGCCTGGACGTGACGACAAAATTCATTTCCGTCGTCGCTCCTTAAAGGTCAACAAGCTGCTCCCATAAACTGACGCTGGTCTCCCCTCCCTCAACGCTACCAGTTGTTCCCAGCCATGTCGCCCCCCCCGGGGGGCCCGCCGCCCCCGGCGCGTTCGTCAAGCACAGCCTGAGGCAGGATCAGGTAGAAAGGGTCGATCTTCGCTTCGAACGCTGCTTCCCCCACGGCGCCCATGACGATCAAGTACGAGCCCTTCATCCTACCAAGCACCTGCAAAACATTTCACAACCATCGCCAAAAACAGCAGTTGCGGGTAATGCGCGTGTGCCTGAGTGTAATGCTTCTTTTCCCACGACGTTATGAGCGTCCGGCGGAAGGTAGGCAACGACGGTCAACACACCATCACGCAGCCAGTAAAGTTGGTCACGTGCTGGACGATAGGGGCGTCGCGTCGCTGAAGTTTTTCGTGCAAAATGCCTCAGGCAACAAGAAAAAAAAAGAAAAACATCGGCTCGGTGGCACAAACTGCTCTGCAATGAGACCGGTCTGAATCATGCAATGAGCACCATCCGCATAACCGTCATTAATCTCAACATCTCAACAACGCAGCGGCACGACACCAACATCCCTGCAAAAGGCCCATCGCTCTTGCCCCCCAACCACCCCCCCCCCCGGTGGCCAGACGGGCCCTCTCTCTTGCCCCCCCCCCCCCCCCGCGCCCCCCCCTCTTTGTTTTTTTGGGGGCCGGGCCGCCCCCCCGCGGGCCGTGTGTGCGGTTCTCCCTTTTTTCCCGGCTTTGGTGGCCCCCCCCCCCGGGGGCCTTTCTGTTGTG